CTGGACCTCAGGTGTTTCGGATGCATTTCCTGGGAGGTCAAATTCTGTTTTTGCCCTGGCCCGAAATCCGGCTCAGTCCCGCTCAATCCCGCTTAATCCAGTTTGATCCGAGGCCCTTTCCGGCGTAGCGGCTCCCAAATGGGGTTGAATCCTCCTTATTACCACCTCGAACGTATCCCTATCCTTAAGATTGACACGCCAAAAAGCGATGACAATCTTAGGGATGCGCCCTCAAAACATAAGGGAATCCCTAAGATTGGCATCGTGATGAGGAGATGCCCAGCATAGGGATAGGGATACGTTCCAGGCTGGTAACCTGAATCTTTCCGACGAAAGCCTCCCAGCGGTTGCCTCCTCAGGGTGCCCTCCTCGTCGTCGTCGTCGCCCCCCTCCCCCCTCGGCACAGGGGCCTCCCGCGGGCCGAGGCCGAGACCTCGGGACGGCCTGCAGAGGAGAGGCGGAGGGTCGGGTGCGGCAAAGAGGGGGGTGATGGCTAGGGGGAGGGGGGGGACATCATGGCGGTGGCCATGATGTTTCCCAGATTTCATGGCGCCTCTGCTCATTTCATTACGTCCCTGGCCCCCCCGCGGGGCCGCGCACATGCCACCGCTCGTGATTTGCACCCCCCCTCTTGGACACCCCCTTTCTTGGCCGCTCCCAAGAGGAAGCGGGAGGTCCAGGAGGATTGGCTCGACCTCTTGCTTTCAGAGGCGACGATAGGGGCGAACAACCTTAAGTCGGGCCTGTCCCCCTACAGGGGGATTTTCGACAAAAATCAAAAATAAAACACTCACCCCAAAAAGGTCAAACAGAACTCAACAAATAGTCCCCTGATTATTTCTGGATTAGTTTTTGATTATTTTTGGGGTATGTGTTTTTTCGTCGAAAATCCCCCTGTAGGGGGACAGGCCCGACTTAAGAATAGCCCATGGGATCACCACGCACCAAACCACCCCATCCCAACCCGAAGGTCTCAATTTGCCATCCATTTCCAGTGGGGGGGGTCCGGGAGCATCGAAACAACACGTATGGAGCCCATACCCCCCCGACCCGAAATTCGGGTCTTCGGGTTGGGTTGGGGTGGTCTGGTAGGTAGTCAGGGGAGAGCAATACAGGTATTCGGGTGCGCCGATGATCTGCGTCTTCTCAGAGACTCCCGGGCGAATGCGTGTAATGCCCGCCCCTGGGCTATTCGCCCCTGTCGTCGCCGCCGATGCTTCCCGCCTAACTCGTTTTTCTGTTTGCATGCGAGTGCGGTCGTACCCCTTCACGTTCGTGGGCGCCCCCGGCACAGAAGAATGTCCAGCTCCACGGCGGCCGACGCGCGACTATGTTTCCCGGCGCCCGGTTTCGTCTTGCCCTGCCCGCGTCGGGTGCGGAAAAGAGGGGGGTGATGACTAGGGGGGGGTGGATATCATGGCGGGGGCCATGATGTTTCCCAGATTTCATGGCGCCTCTGCTTATTTCATTACGTCCCTGGCCCCCCCGCTGGGCCGCGCACATGCCGCCGGTCATGATTTGCACCCCCCCCTCTTGGACACCCCCCTCTTGGCCGTTCCCGACCGCGCCGCCGCCCTGTCAGAGCTTCTATTGTTGAGACCCACCTGGCAGGCCCGCGGATCTGGAAGAAGGACGCACACGTACAGCTAAGGCGCTGCAGTAAGGAACAGGTTGGGCTCGGAGGGGGCCGGATGCTCTTTAGGTCCTTCCGTGTTTGTTCCTCTAGCCCTCCTCCTTCACGCAGGCGCTCTGGGGGCCAAGAGGGGCTTCGTTCCTGATCTAGCGTTCCTTTTTTCAGCGGCCCGACTCTACATGATTCTACGTCGGTTTCGAGACCACGCATTGCGCGAACGTTCGTATCACGCGGTTGGTCTCGAGGACTGGGGGACCGTGTTCATGTACGTGGTTGGGCGTGCACGTCCTTTCTGGGCTCACCAAGCCGTCCCGAGCTCCGCCTGAAAAATGTGGCCGCTCAGATTCGGAAACTCTGGGATACTTACTCCCCAAGGGAGCTATTCGGACGCACCCCCAGCGAAGATGGACGTCCCCCATCGTATATCTCCTGGTTGGGCCGCAAATGTTTGGTTTATTCGAAAGCCCCACGAGGTGTGAGATAGGGGTCAACATATCCCGTGTTCAAATCTCCGTAAACATGAAACTTTCGACGGTTGTCGGCCTCTTGGGCGTTCAGGGTATTTTGTTGGTCTGCCATGGCCCCCACCCCAGATGAGAACAAGGCACAGAACGTTTCGGATGTTTTGTCAACATGTGTTGTGCGTGCGTTCAGGGGCATGTCGAGGGGCGGTTGTATATGTTCTTGAACGGTTTGAGCTTGGGCTTGTGTAATTCGGTGATGTATAGCCACAATCAGACCTGCTAAACGATCCAGGAGTTTAAACATCGGAACCCCGCTCTCTCCCTTGTCTGCACCCTCTCCCCCTCTCTCCATAGCCTGTCTTCGGCTCAGAACGGGCGGGGCACCGCATGCTCTCCCCAGGTTCCGCTGCGGTGTTTCTGGCCTTGAGTTTGGCGCTGCTCGCGGGGCTAGGGTGTCGTCTGTCTCCTCCGCCTTTGGTGCCTGAGCCGCTGCCTGTGTCTCCAGCGTGGCTCGAGGAGGTCGCGGAGGCCTGTGAGGCGGCCTCCTCCGCCGCCCTGTACGCCGAGTCGGCGGCTCGGGCGGCGCTCGACGTGACAGCCTCGCCGCCGCCTCCGCCGACGGACTGCGAGCCCTGCGTGTGCCCGGAGCAGCAGGGCGACGACGAGCTGAAGGCGCTGGTGGTGCACGTGCTCGTGGGTCTTCTCACGCCAGTGTGGCTCCGGTTGACGGATCGTTCCTGCGGCAGCCCGAATCGCCCAGGCCTCCGACGACATGCTGGGCCGCCGCGGGCGCCGGGCACCCCTGCCCCCGTTGCCCGCGGGGGAGGAGTGGTGCGCTGACCTGCCCTGCGGGGCGCGCGCGATCTCGTGGATCACCGTCGAGGCGCGAGGAGGACGGTGAGGTTGTCGACTCGCACCTGTACTGGGTGCTCTCGCCGGACGGGGACCTGTGGGAGGAGCTTCTCTCTGGAGCCTCCCTGGCCGACGGCCCCTCCGGCGGCGAGCGCCTGGCAGCCGGCGCCGCTCCGCCCGCGGGAGACCGCAAACTCTACGGCTTCAGGGAGAGGCTCAAGCTGAATCGGTTGGTGGAGCTGGCGGAGGAGTGCAGGTTTGCGATGGAGGCTCGCGGGCAGACGCTCGCGGAGGCGCCGGCCAGGATCGAGCTCCCGTCGGGCGTCCTGCTGGACATTGGCGAGGTGTTCCCGTGGGCCCCCCCGCCGCGCGCGCCCGCCTTGCCGGCGCACCCTCTCGCGGGCGGCGGCGCGGGCGACGCCCTGGCCGCGGCCCCTGCAGGTGCGCCCACGCCCCCGCCAGAGGGCCACGTGTGGGCCTTGGCAGAGCCCGCGCCTGGGCTGCCGATCGGCTCCATCGTGGACGCCTCGACGGAGACCCTGATTGGGGCGGGGGTCGACGCCATCTGGCACCGGCGCGGCCGAGCATGGCGAGTGGAGCAGATGCCAGAGGCGGAGGTGGTCGACTGGGCGTCTCGTCGCGTGGAGGAGCTGCGCCGTCTCCTGGAGATGGTGCGCTGGCCGCTGCCCCTGGCGATGGGCCCCTGGCCCTTGGTGCCGGACCTGGTCCAGACGGCGAGGCGCCGCCGCCAGGGCCAGGCGACCGCGACGCGGGAGCCGACGCCGGTGACGGAGGCCCGAGATCAGAGGAGCGGGGTGGCGACGACACGAGAACCCTCTGGGTCGAATGGGGCGACCAGGGGGGGCGGTTCAAGGAGTTCAGGAAGGCTATCAACGAGTCGGTGAGCCACGACTGGGGGCATCAGCGACTCGAGGGGGGCTCGACGTGCCTCCACGCGTGCAAGATGATGCACCGCACGTCGGGCCCCCCACGAGCGTGGCTCGAGAAGTTCTTGAGAGAGAAGAACATCGCGCCCACCGACGGGGTGGCCCACGAGCTGCGGCCCCTGACGGAGGCGCTTGAGGAGGCCGTTTGCTTCGATCAGCTGAACCTAGGCGGCCTCGCCTGCCTCGAGGTCGTCGCCCGCCGGCTCAACGCCATAGTGGGCGCCTACAAGCGCGGCGGGGCCCCGTCGTTCGCCAGCGCCAAGTGCCCGACGCCGCTTTGCGAGGCGGACGAGCTGCCGGCACCGGCCTCGAGGCAGCGCGTCTCCCGCCGCGCCAAGGAGGACTGGGAAGTAGAGCAGTCCATGAAGAAAGCGGAGGCCGTCGACTCTCGCGTCACGTCGGGCGCCGCGGCCAGAGAGACCACCAGCAGCGGCGGTGCCGCGGGGGCTGGCGGAGGGGATGCCAAGGGGCGGGGACGTGGCCGCGGCCGCGGTCGCACGCCGGGGCCCCCCCCGCCGGCCCAATCATGACCAAGACAGGTCAGCGGGGGGATTGGGCCCCCCCCGGCTGGGAGCAGGACCAGGCTCGCGCCTCTCCGTTGCCGCCGTCCGATTTTGAGAGCCCTGTTCCCGGTGCCGCTGATGCAGGTGCCAGGCGTTCTGGCCCGCGGGCGCAGGTCTCAGCATAGGGCACATGTGCGGCTACATGAGGTGGAATTGGCGAACCGCGCCTTGGCCAGCCTGAACTGGACTGCCGTTTTCAAGGGCGCGTCGTCGACACCACAGCCAGGCGCCTCGACCCTGGCCAAGCACGCAGCCCTTCAGCAGCATCTGTGGCGCGAGGCTCATCGGCGCCAGGCCGCAGCCACCCCGACGCTGCCGAAGTCGGAGGCAGCCCTCAGAGAGCGGCTCCGGGGGCAGTCCGTGCACGAGACGGACGTCGCCCCGAGGAACCTCGTCTCCTACCAGCCCGGCAAGGTCTCGCTTCCCGAGAGCGCGCTGGAGTGCCGCTCCCTCGAGGGCATTGTGAGCCCCGACTGCCGTCTCTTTCTGGGGGGGCCAGAAGCGAATGAGGTTGAGGCCGGAGGCAGTTGATTCCGACAGCATGCCGCGTGTCTACATGGACCTTGTGCTGAAGAGGAATTCCAAACGCTACCGCACTTTCGTGCGGGATCTTGCTAGACGTGGACTTCTTGGAGTGACTTCGAGGCCCGCCGAGTTGGCGGGCATCTTCTTCGCGGCAAAGACGAGCCTTGCTCTTCGGCTGATCATCGACGCGAGGCGCAGCAACGGCCACTTCAGAGCGCCGCCATCCGTGCGCCTTCTGAGCAGCGAGGGGTTCGGGCGCATCGAGGTGGAGCTGCCGCCCGGGACCCACCCCTCCTCCGAGGAGGGCCGTCGCTTGCTGGACGCTTTCACCGCGTATGGGACCGCGACCGACGTCAAGCACTGCGTCTACAGGATGCGTATCCACGAGGACCTCGGCCGGTACTTCTGCCTGCCGGCCGCCCCTGGGCACGCGCTCGAGGGGCTGCGGGTCGCCGGCTTCCCCACCGAGGCGGCTTCGGACGCGATGGTGCACCCCTGCCTGGGGGCCCTGCCGATGGGCTTCACGTGCTCCTTGCGCCTGGCCCAGGCCGCCAACGAGTACAGGGTCTGCCGGGGTGTCAGCCTTCAGGAGGCGGTGCCAGCTGGCCGTGAGCCGCCCCTGATACAGGACCAGGCGGAGGCTTTTGTACTTCGCGCCTCGGCTCGAGGCGAGGGCGGGGCCTACGTCTACGTTGACAACTTGGGCGCCGTTAGCGGCGACGTCGCCCTCCGCGACAGGATGGTGTCCGAGTGGAGCGAGTTGTTCGAGCCGGCCGGGCTGGCCCTCCACAAGTGGGAGTCCCACGGCGGCAGGGGGGAGGCCCTCGGCACTGAGCTCGACGGAAGGCGCCTCCGGTCGACCGCGACGCGGGCCCGCTTCTGGAATCTGGAGCGTGGCCTGACGGGACTGTTGTCTCGGAGCCGCTGCAGCGGCCGAGCCCTTGAAACAATGATCGGACACTGTGCCTTCCGTGGATTGGCAGCTCGTGAGTCCCTCTCAATTTTTCACACGGTTTATACATATATTTCGACGCAGTATCTAGTAGTAGGCCCCCTGTGGCCCGAAGTGGTCGAGGAGCTCCGGGTCTTCAGGGGCTTTTCTGCTGTGGGATCGAGATTTGTAGATCCCTTGGAACCCGTGTGTCCTGGAGACCGACGCCAGCCTGGCGGGCTGGGCGATGGCTCAAAGCTTCTGGGACCCCTCGCAGGTGGCCCACGTGGGCCGCGTCTGCGAGCGAGCTCGGTTTAAACGCGTTGGCCCCCGCTCGGCTCGGGAGTCCGCACTCGCCTCCGCCCACCTCTTCCGTGATGAAGATGGCAAGTGGAGAAGCAGTATTGTCGGGGATGAGTGTCGCCTGACGATTGGGAGGTCGTGGCGGATTTTCTTAAGGTCCCCTGGCAGCTCCTCCGCGCCTCCGCGTGGAAGACGGCTCGAACGGGCGCCTGGGCTTTAGAGGGGGGCATCTTAGTGCTGGAGGCCCGGGTCCTGGCGAAGGCTACGCGTGGGCTCGCTCGAACTAGGCACGGCGCATGCATCAGACAGTTCTTCCCGTGCGATAGCATGGCCGTTGTTCTCGCCTTCGCCCGTTCAAGGAGTCACGACTTTAAGTTGCTAGTCAAGATACGTCGCTTCAGTGCGTGCGCCCTGGCCCTCGGTATCGCCCCGTACTTTAGGCGGATCTTTTCGGAAGTTAACCAGAGCGATGCCGGGAGCCGTGATCATGTCGAAGTCTCGTCTAAACTGTTCACCGATGATCTGGATCAGCAGGCTTTGCACGGCGCTTCAGCCACCGCGTCTCCCTTCCGTAGCCGCTTTGGCCCAAGCGATGTTTCAGCTCGCCTCGCCAGTATCCCTGAAGAGTCTCGTGTCCTAGATGCGGGCTCGGGTGCTGCGGCCCCCGCGGCCGCCTGCGGCGGCGGGCCCTCGTGCGCCGCCTCGGCCCCCCCCGAGGCAGGGCGCGAGGCCTGCCGCGTGCTCGCAGGCGCTGCCGGCCGCGAAGGCGAAGACGAGAACGCTGGAGAGGCCGGGCCCCCCGCCCCCACCGAAGGTAAGGAGCGTTCGGGCCCGCCTGGAGACCAGCTCTGCGATGCCGCCGCCGCCTGCCCCGCTGACGCTCGCCGACCTCGCGCCCGAGGCCTCCGCCGTCGAAGACGCGGCGGAAGGCGAGGGCGAGCTCGACACGAGCGGCTCCGACAGTGTCGCGAACCATGCGAGCGCGGCTCAGCGGAGGTCCTGCGCCCTCCAGGACTCCGGGCGCCGACGGCGAGCGGCGCTCTACGCGGACCTGGTCACGCAGAGCAATTTGGAGGGGGAAACATTGCTGGAGCGCCTGGCGGTGACGCGCCGCACGAGGGACCGCTACGCCAAGCATCTCGATCGCTTTCACTCGCATGCAGGCCTGACCGACGAGAAGCTGGCGCAGGCCAAGGACGAGCACGTGGACTGCCTCCTCTGCGACTATTTCACCGCGATGTACCTTGCGGGCGAGCAGAGCAGCCTCGGGATCCAGACCGGGGCCGCGCTGCTGGACAGGCACCCGGCCTTCGGCCGTCGGGGGGTCGGTCCTTGCCGCGCACCTGGCTGGCTCTGAAGGCCTGGAGGCGGCTGGCGCCGTCTCGCACCCGCCGGGCCTTGCCCCTCGCAGTCTGGGCGGCCGTGATGTGGCGCCTGGTGGACAAGGGGCTGGCGCTCATGGCCCTGTTCTTGGCGGTCGGCCTCTCGGCCGATTCGAGGCCCTCTTCCCTCCTGGCCGCCCGGAAGTGCGACCTGGTGCCTCCGTCTCGCGCAGCGGTGGACAGCTGGGGCCTCCTCGCACACCCGGAGGAGGAAGGCGGGCCGAGCAAGACGAACCGCTGCGACGAGGGCTGCCTGCTGGACTCGAGCTACCTGCGGGGTCTGGGCCCCCTCTTCGCCCATCTTCGAGCTGCCGGGGGGGCAGAGAAGCTGTGGCCGTTCAACTATCTGGAGCTCTTGGAGGCCGCGTCACTGGCCGCCGCCGAGGTCGGCGCTGGGAAGATATTGTTGCACCAACTGCGCCACTCAGGCGCCAGCGTCGACGTGGGCCGGCGCGCGCGGACGTCGGAGGAAGTCCGACGCCGCGGACGCTGGGCCCAGGCGCGGAGCATGCACCGGCGCGAGCACAGCAGCCGTCTCAGCGCCGAGTACGAGCGCTACCCGCCAGACCAGAGGCGGCTGTACGAGTCCTGCGAAGTTCACCTCATGCTGATCATGCTGGGTCTTGCCCATCCCGTCCGTTTCCGTCAGGAGATGTTGGCCCGGCAGGCCCGCGCTCCAAGCTGAGGCACACGCACCGTGGTAGTAGGAGCAAGAGCCTTGCGTCTCAACGCTTCGCCCTGAGAGGGCGGTGCTAGCCGATCTCTCTGCCGGCAGCAGATGCATTTCGAGGGCCGGCGAGACACTTGGCTTCAGATGCCGCGCGACGCAGTTTGGCAGGACCTCACTGACCCTCGAGTCCTTGCCCCGATCCGACGCGAAGCTCGGCGCGGCCGCATCTTGGCGGCCGCGCTTGCCCCCTCGTGCCAGACGTTCTCGATCGCACGCGACCGCGCCTCAAAGATTCGCTCTCAAGAGAGCCCCTGGGGTTTGACCAGGCCGCTGCTGAGCGGACCGGGTGCGGAGAAGGTCCGCGAAGCCAATCGTGTCGCCGAAGCCGCCATAGGTCTTTTTGCCGTTTTTCAGCAGCTCAAGGTCCCTGCCTTTCTTGAGCACCCGCTCACTTCTCGGTTGTGGCACAAACGCGAAATCCAAGCCCTGGCATTTCTTCCCGGGGTCAACCTTGTAGAACTAGATCAATGTCAATCCAGAGCCCCATGCAAGAAGCCGGCTAGACTGATGTTTTGCCATGTAGTAGAGGACGACGATGTCAGAGACTCTGTAGGAAATGCCGTGGCCGGAATGGGAGATGCTCGATCACGTGACTTCCTCACTTTCAGCTTGAAGGAAGTTCCCGTCCTCGTCCAGCTGCCGCTTATCCGCCAAAGCTTACACACTGTATGGTACGGGCCCTCACGGCCTTCAGTATTGCTGCGTTCGGAAAACTCGGGAAGGAGTGAGAGAGCGTGCAAACTTTAACCTCTGGCCAAGACGTTTCGAGGCTTTCGTCAGAGTCATGTCCCTGCTGTATGGAAAAAGAGTTCTCTCCCGCTCTCTCCATAGCCTGTCTTCGGCTCCTACCCTCCCTCCCGGGGAGGAATGAGAGAGCGTGCAAACTTTAACATCTGGCCACGACGTTTCGAGGCTTTCGTCAGAATCGTGTCCCTGCTGTGTGGAAGCAGAGTTGTTCCGTATACAACCGGGGACATGTAGTCGTGCGGCGTGCATATACGGCTTCCCTCTTGAGCCTTGGGTTGTTGTCATTACGCCGTATGGCTCACATCGCCCACTTACCGAATAAGAGAGGACTGCTATTCCTCTGGCGCGCGGGGCGCGCCAGGGGCGGCGCCGTAGGTTCCACCAGGGGGACCCAGCGTAGGCCCAAGAAACCTGCGCGGAGCCCCGGGAGTCTTTGCTTATGCCGTCTGGTGTTCTTCTGTCCTCGCTCTCAGCCTCCCCGCCCACGGCCCCCTGGAACCCTCCTTTTCCTCCTCCTTTTCCTCCTCCTCCTCCTCCTCCCCCTCCCCCTCCCCCTCCCCCTCCCTCTCCCCTACCCCCTCCTCGGGGGTTATTCCTGCTTCTTCGTGAGCGGAAGCGCGCGAGAGCGACGCGCGAGCGAGCCGCGGCCGGCAAGCCGCGCCCAAAAGGGAGAGAGCGGGGGGCGCGGTGCCGGAACCCTCCGTCTGGGACTACTGCGGCCTGCCCGCCAACGACCTCAAGAAACTCATCCTGCCAGAGTGCGCCCGCCCCCGTCCCGCGCCCCTCGCGTCGGCATCCCTTCTCCATGCGTCCTGTCCGTCCTCCTCTCCCTCTGCACCTCCTCCTCCCCCCCAGTTCCTCCGGGCGCCTCCGTCCCTCTGCCGCCTGTCGTCCCTCCTTGGTGTTTTGTTTTTTGTTATCCTCGTGTCTCTCCGTCCGATTTGTCCCCATTTTAATTACTCTCGCCCTAATCTCCCTGTATCATGTTTTTTTATGTTTTCTCTCTCTCTCTCTCGTTCTCTCTTTGCCTGTCTGTCTACATGCCTGCCTGCTTGCCTGTCTGTCTGTCTGCCTGCCTGTCTGCCTGTCTGTCTGCCTATCTGTCTAGTTGGTTTTCTTGTTCTCTCTCTCTCTCTCTCTCTCTTTACATGTGTTGTTTTTCTCTATGTCTTTGTTTGTTCCCTCTATCTCTTTCTCTCTCTCTCTCTCTATCTCTCGTTCGCTCTCTCTCTCTCTCTCTTTCTCTCTTTCTCTCTTTCTCTCTCTCCCTCTCTCTCTATTATTTTTCCTCTGTACACTCTCTCCTTACTACCTCGCCCAACCTGCTGTTCCTCCGCTTCCCCCTCCTCGTCCTCGTCCTCCTCCTCCTCCTCCTCCTCCTCCTCCTCCTCCCCATCATCCTCCCTACTAGCATAATCGTCATCATCATCAGAAGCAGCATCAGCAGAATCAGTTTTGCCATCACAATTACCATCATCATTATCATCACCATAATCATCATCATCATCATCATCATCATCATCATCACTACCACCACCACCACCACCATCATCATCATCATCATCATCATCATCATCATCATCATCATCATCATCATCATCATCATCCGTAGCCATTTTGGCTCAAGCCATTTTGGCTCAAGCACGAAACGTGCGGCCTGGCGCTTCGTGCTTGGTCGCTGCCGAGGGCCAGGCTCGAGGTTATTTTAGCCTCAGGCGTGCGCGGTGGAGGTGCTTCTATTAGCCCTGTCAGATCCAACCTTCTGGGACGTTCTGGCTGCCGCGATGGCCGCCACTCTCTCCATGGACCAGAAGATGGATCAGCTGCTGGCATCAATGTCCACCGTCGTAGCCACCGTCAATGCCCACGACGCTAAGTTTGCCAGCCTCGCCAAAGACATGGAGAGCATGAAGACCGACATGCGCAATGAGATGGACATCAAATTCGAGCACATGCAGAACCAGATCATCGCCCTGCAGCAGCGCCACGGCAACATCACGGGCGGCGAAGCCTCTGACGAGATGGTCGACACATGCCTGACGGTTTCACTACTTAGCGCTCAGACCGACCAGAAGATCAGCGTCATCAGTGCCGCACTCGAGGAGCTGAAGACCTCTGTCGCTACGATTTCACGACCACCTTCGACGGCGTCTGGCATCGCCAGCACATGGGGGACCGTGGCCACGCCCCGTGGAGCTAGCGCCGCGCCTGCTGACAGGCGGAAGCTCTGGGTGCGAGGGTTCCCTGTCAAGCTGATGGCTTTTGCATTCGACAAGCACTTCGAGTTCCTGAAGACACTTCTCTCGCCCACCTACCGCGACAAGTGCAGCGCGATCACCAAGAGCTGCAAGTACGCTTACGTCATCATCTTCGAAGACGCCGATGACGCCAAGAATGCCCTGTTGCAGCTGCGTGCCATGACGCTAGAATGGGGAGATGGCAGTAGCTTTCGGCATCGGCTTCGGGTCGGCACCGACGAACCCATCGACATCCGCAAGAAAGGTTGGGTGCTGGGCCAGGTCTGGCAACACATCAAGCAGGTCATGACCGACGCTGGCACATGGCGTCCTGACTCGCAGCTCCGATGCAACAAGTACATGGGCCTCTGCTTCTTGGTCAACGGCGACCTCGTTGACGAGCTCGTCGTGTTGCAGAATGTCCTCGAGACCGACAACCCGAACGTCGAGCCCAACCGCGGCAACTTGAAGCGCTACGGCTTCACCGACGAGCAAGTAGACAAGCTGCCCGAGCTGGTCACTGCTGCGCTTCGCCGCGAATAGGGGCGGAGTGAGCCAGTATCTGGGAGCGATAGTGACGATGAATTCGATCCTGAACGTTTGCGAGCCCTGCTGCGAGAACGGGGGGAGGCCACCTCGACACCGCCTGACTCTCTTCCTCCTGAGAATGCTCCAGCTATTCATGATCCCTACCTTCCTGATCAACACTCTCCTGGGGGAGGTGAAGCTGCTCTTGCTGAGCAGCGGCATCCATTTGTTATTTCTCGTGCTATGGGTCTTGCTTCTTGGAATACTCGTGCATTTTTTGGCAGTGTTCACGGCGATCCACAGAGACAGCATCGGAAACAGCAGATTTTCAGAAGTCTTGCACAACGCTTTCAAATAGTATTTTTGCAGGAAACCCACGGGACCGAAGAAGATCTTTCCTCGCTGGATCGTGACGTGCCAGCACACACGCACCTTGGCTCTTTTTGCTCTTCTGCGGCCGCGGGAGGCGTTACCATGTCTATTGATCCTTTCTTGCTCCAGCTCTTTCAGGACATCCACGTAGTTAACATTATCGATGGACGATGCATAGCAGTTACACTGACAGGCGAGAAAGGCACGCTGCAATTGATTAACTTTCACCTCGACCCTACCCTCTCCGACGTTGAGAAGGATCGTGTGATCCGCGCGGTTGCTGCTCACGCTCTGCCTGCTGATCAGGCCACAGTCATCTTGGGAGGCGATTTTAACTTCTTGGAGGAGGGGGAGATGAGGGCGTTCACAGACGGAAGGGAACCCACCCCTGAGAGGACCGCTATTCTACACATGTTTTCTCGGGCTTTCGGACACTTTGCTGAAGTTGCCCAACAGGAGCCCACTCATCGGACTGGGAGGAGGGAGGACGGTGCTCTCAGCCTTGGTCGCCTGGATAGGTTCTACATCTCTTCTGCCACCACCGACATTCTTGATGCGACACCAAGAAGCGGTGTCATAGGTCTTGCTCACGATGTCGCCCAGCCGAGCGACCATATTCCTGTTTGGCTTCAGTTTTCGCCTGGCGGCAGAACTACCCCGACGATCCCCTCCTGGATTGCCAAACATCCTGATTTTGGTTCTGAGGTTGATGCTGCCATAAGTTCGGTTGAAATGCCCAGGGACCCGTTCGAGTACCTCCTGTCCGTCAAAGACGCGATGCATGTTGCCAAGGATGCTCTGATGACCCGCATGTTCTTCCGAGGCCCCAACAATGATGCGCAGAAGTTGTCGGTTTACCTTAAGTTTCTACGGGCTGTTCGGGATGGCAAGTCTTGGGACGTTCGGAGGTGTATCCAGGCTATTCCTCATCTTAGTCTACATGTTCATGCTGATGAATGTTGTTTTAGAGATTCTGTGTCTTTTTATCGGGAAATGGCCGAGCTCC